TTTAATTCATTTTCTTGGTTACACTTTACAGTAAGGTTCCTTTAGTTAATGTTAGTTAGTTAACTAACATGAATGAACAATGAACAGTACATTTATTACAGTATTTATGAATCTTTGTTAATGAAAATGCAGTCGTTCATTGTTAGTTCATGTTAGTTCACAGTGCATTAACTAATGTTAACAAGCACAACTTTTGATTTTAATAATGCATTAGTAAATGTTGAGATTACATTTGTCACAAAAACGCACACACACACACACACACACACACACACAAACTCGCAACTAAAGTTGTTAACTAATGAACCTTATTGTAAAGTGTTACAGTTTTCTTTAATGTCTATAAAATTAATATTTTTTTAGCCATTTTTAATATATTTTTCGTGAAAACAAATGGTGTGTTTTTTATGTTTTTATTAATTGTTTTTTTAATGTCTGTAAAAAATGTATTAATTTGTATTTATTAGTGTTAGTTTATTTAGGCAAGGCAAGTTTATTTATATAGCACATTTCATACACAATGATAATTCAAAGTGCTTTACATAAAAGAAAAGAGAATAATAATACAAGGAATTCAAAAACTTTGAAAATGATTTAAAAGGTTTAGAATGAATTTAAAACAGTTAAGAATAGAAAAAGATTATAAATACAGTTTTAGTTATTTTAGTACTTCAGCTTAAAGTATACGGAAATAAATGTTGCCTTGGCAACAAGCTGAACTAACTTTTTTTGTTTTTGTTTTATTTCCGTTAAGGTTTATTTTATTTCAAGTAACAGAAATGTTTTCCGATGGGTTTGTGTGATGCAGATATGGTTGTGTCCGGTGTACCGAGAGAGAACGGGATTCTCCACGCCTCTGAGATCGCCAGCATGGCTCTGGACCTGGTGTCTGTCTGCAAGACCTTCAGAATCCCCCACAGACCACAAACCCAGCTGCAGATCCGGGCTGGAATACATTCAGGTCCACATTAAACCTGCAGTCAGAGGCACTTTGAATATCTGAAACCTGAGTCTAGAATCTAGAATCTAGACCCGAGCTGCCTTTGGTTCGATCATGATTCTTTCATAATGTTTGATCACAAATGTAGCCATCTGGAGCATTTACATCTAACACACTAAATAAATGAGTTGCATATAACATTTCCAGCCAGTTTGGTTACACAGTTTTAACATTAACTAATAAATTGTCAGTCATACATAAATGAAACAGGTCAGATTTCTGTAATAGTACTAATAAACTCAATGTGTTTTAAAACACAATATTTATAATCAATAAATCCAATTTGTTTCAATCTCATAGATTTTAACTACCTGAATGTTGCTTTCACAGCTAGCCATGTTTTAACCATGTTCATACTGTATAACCGAATACATGTAATTGATTTCATAACTCATGCAGATTCTAAGCAATCTGAATAAATGCATTTTGAAAACCTGATTGTTAAATTAAATTAAATAGATGCAAATAGTTAATAATAAACTTTGCTATGATTTTTTGAGTGCAGAAATCTGACCTTATTTGTTTATGTATGTCTGACAAATGTAAAACACACAGTGAGATAACTTTAGATTAGTGAACACATATTCACTATTAACTAAGAGTTTTCGCTCAATAAACTCCTAATTTGCTGATTATTAATAGTTAGTAAGGTAGTTGTTAGGTTTAGGTATGGGCTAGGATTAAGGGATCTAAAATATGGTCATGCAGAGCAATACATTAATATGTGATTAATAAGTACTAATAAACAGCCAATATACTAGTAATATGCATGATAATAAGCAGCTAGTTAATAGTGAGAAAACTAAAGTATTACCATACACATTAAGTTTATTAGATTGTTTATGTTAATACTGTGTAATCCAATATTTTATGCAATTCAAATACATAAATCTTAAATTTAGGCCTACATATGTTTACATGCTGCAAGCCTTTAAATCAAAACTGACAAATGTAAAACACAGTGAGATAACTTTAGATTAGTGAACACATATTCACTATTAACTAAGAGTTTTTGCTCAATAAACTCCTAATTTGCTGATTATTAATAGTTAGTAAGGTAGTTGTTAGGTTTAGGTATGGGCTAGGATTAAGGGATCTAAAATATGGTCATGCAGAGCAATACATTAATATGTGATTAATAAGTACTAATAAACAGCCAATATACTAGTAATATGCATGATAATAAGCAGCTAGTTAATAGTGAGAAAACTAAAGTATTACCATACACATTAAGTTTATTAGATTGTTTATGTTAATACTGTGTAATCCAATATTTTATGCAATTCAAATACATAAATCTTAAATTTAGGCCTACATATGTTTACATGCTGCAAGCCTTTAAATCAAAACAATGCATTTCTATGGGCCACTTTACACTGAAGACTAAAAATAAAAACTGAAATAAAATCAAATCAAATATAAAAAGCTTAAAATTATTTTATTTTAGCTAGTTGCCAAAGGAGCATTTCTAATTTTTGTTTAACTTGTACAAAAATAACTAAAACTAAAATAAAAATGACAAAAAAAACTATATAGACATATGTAATTAAAAAAACTGATAAAATGACAAAAAAAAAAAAAATGACTAAAACTTTAAACGAAAATGCAAAATATAAAATTAATTCTGAATATTAAAAAACTATAATAGTATCTCAATGATACTATTGAGAGTATCATCACTGAGTACTAAACTAGGCTCTCTTTCATGTCTAATTGCACTTAAACTGTCAAAACACATAAGTTACATAAACACAGTCGGTTATGTCTGAAGGTAAAGAAATCGCATGTTTCTATTAGATCTGTGTATGAAGTGACAGCAGCGTAATATACAGTACCTACCGCAGTTAATATGAGCCAAACAATAAATAAAAACAGAAAATCACTCACTGCTCTTGACTGAATAACTTCTGTAGCTTTAACAAGAGGGTGTTTCTAACTTGAATGCTGCTTTCAAATGCTCTAGCGTGAAGATGTGTGTGTTTTCAGGTCCAGTCGTCGCAGGAGTTGTGGGAACTAAGATGCCGAGATACTGTCTGTTTGGAGACACGGTGAACACGGCGTCCCGCATGGAGTCCACCAGCGAAGGCAAGACTAACCTTTAAATGCTGTCTTGAATATATGTAGTTAAAGAAGTAGATTTAGTGCCGTGCATGATATGCACGTGAGGAACACTTACAAATTGCAAAAAGTTTGCATTAAAAGAAAAAGTCTAATGGTCTAAAACAAGCTTAAAGAGTGATGTCTGATGTGCTCATGTGCAGCGCTGAAGACCCAGTGCAGCTCCAGCGCGTTTTACCTGCTGGAGGAGATCGGCGGATACGTGCTCACCTGCAGAGGAGTCTTACAGGTCAAGGTGAGGCGCATCAGCGCTTCTCAATGCATACGATTTACTGCATCATTTTACACACCTTTTCTAGTTACTGTAAAGCCTCGTACACACCGGGACGATTATCGCTCGCGCTTATCGCCGACGTTTTTCGACACGTCTTTTGTGTTCATACCCAAGCGATTTTCACTGGTGATGAGCCGAGTGAACGTGCATGAACAAAAGCCAGTTTTTAATGCGGCGAGTCAAACCAAAAAAAAAACGAGCCCGAGGCGTTTTTTAAAAAATGACGCTTTTACACCTCGCTTTTTGCGCGTCAGTGTGAACACTCACATTGGCGCGCCCTTTGTTTAGTCACGAGGCATTAAACGTCGGCGATAATCGCGCGCGATATTCGTCCCGGTGTGAATAAGCCTTAAGACTCGTGTCTTCAATTTCTGATCAATATCTGTCCTATTTTTTCATTTTAATAAAATGCAAACATGTCTGATGGAATTATATTTTTTAGTTTAATGATGAATTATGCTAAAAATCTAATTAAAGCATGTTTTTAGTTTTAGTAAAAATGCAGGGGTGTTTGTTTTTTTTTAATTCTGGATCCGTTCGGACACAAAGAATCTTTATTGCATTAAACAGTCGTAACTTAATATTTTCAACTAAAACACACTGACTCGGATCAGCAACTTCTCATTAATGAGCGAATATGAACGTTTTGAATGTTATGTTATCATTGCATTTGCCCTTTTTTTATTAGTTAAAAAATTTAGAAATTCTGATGTACATTAAATATATACATACACACATATATATATATATATATATATGATTGATATTAGTGAGAAATTTTATTTAAATATATCACTGTGTGAAATTTATAAGAACATAATCTAAGAATGATCAGTATTAACCCCATTGGGATGAATAGATTTGAATGAAATTCCTTTGAATTTATAACTCATGATTGCTCCAAAACAGTCAAGATTTATGAAACCTGCATATTTATTTCTAACAAAAAAAAGTAAATAAAAAATAAAAACACATCCGAACAACATAAATGTTACTCTGAAAAGTTTTCAAATAAATTAATTTTACTTGCATAATTTTTTTTTAATGCTGCAATTGTTGGTCAATGGATGTACACATTCATGTTCATTCCCAAACAAAATTCATAAAAAGTGTGTGAGATATGGGAAAAAAGCTTTTGACACACTATTATAACTATTACAAAAAGTACACCTAATGGACCCGGGTCAGAATGACCCGAACACGAAACATGGACATTTTTTAAATGGTTACATTTCTTAAAATATAATTGTACAAAATCTAAAAAAAAAAAAAAACATTTGCAAAGGTTTGTTCCCTAACTATAAACTACATTTTTCAGAAATGTTTGTGTAGCCCTTCCTGGTCAAACCGGAGCTGAATGCTGACCGCTCTGAGGGTTAATCATGCTAAAACATTGCTAGAATAACCAAAAGAAATCACACCTGCTTTAGTTGCATGAGCGTCTGGACTGTGTTCTTGTGTGTTCTCTCAGGGTAAAGGTGACATGGTGACGTACTGGCTGGAAGGGAAGCGTGCTGCAGCTCCGGCTAAAGACGCGAGGAACCCCGAGACTCACACTGACGATTACTCCAGTATCCCAGGAGTCCTCAGCGGCTCTGACAGCGCTGACCTGCTGTGTGACCCCTGACACGCACCTGTCTGTCCGTAGAGAGTCACAGGTGTGTGTTTACCACAGTGAAGCAGCTTTAGTTTAGCTGCTGCTCGTTTAGGATGACGTGTAACTTTAGCTGTACTTGTGTATTTCCTCTGTGTTTGACCAGTCAGTGTTTGTAGCATCAGAATAACGGCAACCGAGCCAATGATAGTCAATACTGAAGTACTGATTATATAGATGTATTCATAAAAAAACCAAACAAATGCGTTTAATGATGCTGATACGCCACTTATTTATGTTTGTTTAATTTTATTTTATGAAACTACGTTCTTTTAAAGAAATGAATGCTTTTGTTCATCAAGGATGCATTAAATTGATCAAATGTTACAAAAGATTACTATTTCAAATAAATGCTGCTCTTCTGAACTTTCTGTTCATCTGTGAATCCTGAAAAATTAAATGCATCACAGTTTCCACAAAAATATTGTGCAGCACGACTGTGTTCAACATTGATAATAATCAGAAATGTTTCTTGAGCAGCAAATCAGCATATTAGAATGATTTCTGAAGATCATGTGACACTGAAGACTGGAGTAATGATGCTGGAAATACAGATTTGATCACAGGAATAAATTACAGTTTAACAGATATTCACATAGAAAACAGCTGTTTTAAATTCTAATAATATTTCAGAATTTTTACTGCATTTTTGATCAAATAAATGCAGCCTCGGTGAGCAGAAGAGCCTTCTTTCAAAAACTAAAAATCTTATTGGCCCCTTTGAAAAGTAGTGCAAACACATACAAATAAACATACTCAATGTTTCATTCATGTCATTGACATAACAAATACACACTTAAAACATTGTATGTGTACACACACACACACACACACACACACACACACACACACACACACACACACACACACAC